CTTCGCCCTCTTTGAATGTTTTATAAATGTATTCTATGGGTGAAATCATATGTAAATTTATTTTGTTCAATTAAGCTCATTTTGCTAATCTTACTTATATCTCCATTTAATCATTCATATTCAACGCTAATACTACCTTCAAAATAACAAAGTCCGTGCATTGCGCGGCCATAACTAGTTTTTAAAGAAAAGCATGATTGTAAACTTAACTGTGGTAGGTGGAAACTGAGTGTATGTTCGACACGCTTTAATTTATTTTATAATTTGTTATAGGATCATTTTTAATCACACATTCATAAAATAAAATATTCTATACGTGTATCAAAAAAAATTATTTACATTTTAATCACACATTCTCCTAAAAATACTATTCAAAACTTATTTTTCTCAATTAATGAGAATCAAATAGGCTCTGAAATTGCAAGTGTATGATTCTTTCATCTAACCTGATTATTGTATTATTTATTTTTGTAGTAGCTGTAATACTTATTATTCTTGTTGTAATATTTATTTAGTGAAAAAAAGCAGTACTGACACAAAGATGTAACGTGGTTTGACGAAAAAGTAGAAGATTTTTATCGTCCTAGAGATTATAGCCAAGCAACTCCGTTATTTATAAAGAATACAAAGAGAATAAGGAAATTCTTTTCAATTTAGATCAATCCTATCTTTTGTAATCGATCTATTCTCCGATAAATGTCTAGAAAATCAACGAAAGCAACCAAATCCCAAATTCTCTCCATTAGCAAATTTAACATAATCCGATAGTGGCTTGCTATCACATAGATTAACGATGGGGAACACGATTTACAAATATTATCATTCAATCAACAATCCTTCCAGACTTTAATGATTTAGTGCATGTTGGCAAATTAGTTAAAACATATTTTTATTTATACATTTTGTAAAATTCATAATTACTATTAATTATTATTTTTATTAAAACATTTGGAATGATCGATAACTTATAATCATTTTTCATTTTAATTTAAGCACTCGAAGCATGATTTTACCATGCATCTAAACCATGCTTTTCCTTTTATTTGGTGAGATTTTTTAATTTCTTTCAATTTTTGCTGTCAACTTCACGATAAAGTCCAATCTGCAAAAAGTAAAAACAGGTGAAGTCATTCATGAAGTGGCACTGAGAGATTTTTACGATATTTAAATTGTTTCAGTAAATTGGTCAGCAAGGGCTGCTGCACGAAATCACCGAAAGCACCTTCACTTCCCTCTATTTAACTGTTTTTGGATAAACAATAATCAAATAAGATTTTAAGCAATGGAAATAGTGCATTTTTTTGTGATGTGATGTTAAATATGTGGTTAAAAATAAAGGAAAAGTTATTGATGTAATTGAAAATATTATTTTATCGAAAAAATGTATGATTAAAAATAAGTAGAAGAATGTGAATGAAAGTGAGAATGTGACTCAAACAAGGTATAAATAAGAATTTATGCATGTATAACTGGAACAGGGACAGAGGCAACCACGAGAGTGGCAAGATCTAGGATAGTTTCTTGAGTGGTGGTCATCATATGTTGGGTGTCTTAAATTAAACATAGTTGTGGAGTCCGAATAGCAAAATGTTTCATTAATTCGAGTGTTGTTGTGCATGACGAGAAGGGGGTAGTGTTGATTATCCAATTAAGAAAAAATTTATGGTTTTTTTTTTTTTCTGATTAATGACATTGAGACGATGGCTCTTAGGGATAATCTTATTTTTAGTAACGTTCTTATTGTGGAGAATGTGAAATACGATTCCCTCAATACTTGTATTATTTTTGCTTATTGAGTCGTTGATAGATGTTCAACGTTGTTCTTGGTAACCAAACTTTTGCTTCTTGTTTCTTGCTTATACGTAATGTTTTGTTTTAGACAGATTGTATTACATACTTTGTCTGATATGTTTAATAAATGCGCACCAATATTGATTAAAGTTAGATCCATTGACTACAATAAGACATTATCATTGGTTTACAATGATCTTATTCATAATAGTTTGTACCACTAACATGTGTGGTAGGCTTGGACGTTAAATTGGATTAATAATTTTCTACTTTTTTTACTTTTTTTCCTTTTATTATTATTCTTATTTTCATCTAAAATTTGACAAAATACAAATATGTTTCTTCATTAAAAGGAATTTAAGAAGGAAAGGAAATAAACAAATAAAAGGGGTATAATGGTCAATTGAACAAATCTAACAATGACGGAGTGTTCTGGCAAATAAAGCAACACATTTCCCAATTACATCATCACACGTGTTTAAATCACAACGGCTCATTTCCCTACAATTATCATTCTAGTATCCAATATAAACGCAACACTGGAAAACGTTTCTCAACACTTCTTCCAATGGCTTCCTTCTCTCTCCTCTTTCTCCTCACTGTAACTCTCTTATCTTCTCCATTTGCTTCCGCAGAATCCACCATAGAATCCGTTGTAGAATCTGTCACCGATGATCCTTTGATCCGGCAAGTCGTATCGGATGGCGTAGAAGCCGTCGATCATCTGTTACACGCTGAGCATCATTTCTCCCTGTTCAAGGCCAAGTATGGCAAAACATACTCCACACAGGACGAGCACGATTACAGATTCTCAGTGTTCAAGGCTAATCTGCGCCGTGCCAAGCGCCACCAGCTGATGGACCCCTCCGCCGTCCACGGTGTCACCAAGTTCTCCGACCTGACACCCTCTGAGTTCAGGAAATCACACCTGGGGCTCCACAAGCGTCGTCTCAAGCTCCCCGTTGACGCTCACAAAGCCCCAGTTTTGCCTACCAACGATTTGCCGACGGATTTTGACTGGCGCGACCATGGCGCCGTCACCGGCGTTAAAGATCAGGTTTTTAGTTCTCTTTCTTCTCTATAGTGTTCAAATGAAATGGAGTGCACGTTCTTTGGACGTTTGACTGAGTTTAAAAGTTTACCTATAAGCAAGGTTGCTTGCAAGTAAATAAGTAACTTTTAAACAATTTAACAGTGCTCAATAAAAATTACTTGTCTGTAACTGTCCCAAACAAACAATAAATCAAGACAATTAATTACATTACTTCAATTGAGATAGTGCATAATCATTTCACCTTTTTAGTTGAAACTTTAGGCGGTTCTCTGCCCAATCTTTTAAAGGATTGAGAATAAACATAAATATTAGAAATATGTGATTGTCTTGTGTGTATCTATGTAATGAAAGTTTTGATTGGTGTTTCCGTGACAGGGATCCTGTGGATCGTGCTGGTCGTTTAGTACAACCGGAGCGCTGGAAGGCGCACACTTTTTATCGACTGGAGAGCTTGTCAGCCTCAGTGAACAGCAGCTTGTGGATTGTGATCACGAGGTTTGTATTATTAACTTCTGAAAAATACTGCTGCAAGTGTTCTATACTATGTTATTTTTTTGGGTTTTAATCTGCTGATAATCATTTGTGAAGTTTTGTGCTCTGTTAGTTATTATAAACCTGAGGTCGACTGTGAGTCTTATTTTGCAATTGTGTTTGATCCAAGCCTTCATCTGCTAAAAGTCCTAGTGAAATCAAATAACACGTATTATACTTAAAAAGATGAAACTAAAAGAAAAAGCTCGATTATAAACTTTTTAAAGAACAAACTCTCAGGATATATACAGTTGTAGCCTTGAAATGAGTGAATACATGTCTGTTGATGACTATTTTGCAAATCAAAGTACCGAGTTTCATCCTTCGCTTAATTCTGAATCAAATTTGTTGAATTGACTAGTATCCTAATTAGTGATACAGTGATAGCTAAATAATTGGTATCATTAGAAACAAAGTAAAGGAAATCAAATGTTCCAGACGAAGATAAAAGGATGAGGGAGGGTACATTTTGTTTAGTTCCTCATCCACTTTTTCGGACAATGAAACGATGAAAAGTATTGGTGTTTGCTTATTATGCTGTGTTGAATATTTGGAATGTCCAAATTATTATTGTGTTATACAAACCTTATTTTCTCTGTAGTGCGATCCAGAGGAATATGGTTCATGCGATGCGGGTTGTAATGGCGGATTGATGAATAATGCTTTTGAGTACACTCTCAAGGCTGGTGGACTTCAAAGAGAGAAAGATTATCCTTATACAGGGACTGATGGAACCTGCAAATTCGATAAGAGCAAAATTGCTGCATCCGTATCTAACTTCAGTGTGATTTCCGTTGACGAAGATCAAATTGCTGCAAATTTGGTGAAGCACGGTCCTCTTGCAGGTAACAACCCTTCACTTGCTAGAAGAGAGTTTGTCTGAAATCAAGCATTGATAAAACAAGTAATGTTCATGTTTTCTTTTGCTTCTGCTACAGTTGGAATCAATGCAGTTTGGATGCAGACATATATAGGAGGAGTTTCGTGTCCATTCGTTTGTGCACACAATTTGGATCACGGGGTTCTTCTGGTTGGATATGGTGCTGCTGGTTATGCTCCTCTACGGTTAAAGGATAAACCTTACTGGATTATAAAGAATTCTTGGGGAGAAAATTGGGGAGAGGATGGTTACTATAAGATCTGCAGGGGTCACAATTATTGTGGGGTTGACTCAATGGTCTCATCTGTGAATGCAGCCCATATTATTACTCAGTAGATCATTAGATCCCTGTATTGTCCAAGTGTTGTGCTAACACTTGCATCTATTCCCAGTGTACATATGAAAACGCAAACATATGTATTACAAATGTCCACTATTTCCTTGTGGACTTTCCTAAACTCGATGATATGTGATTGTACGTGTAGCGACTGTATTATTGTCTTGTACTATTATTATCTACAGACAGATATGCCTTCTACAAGCTTTTTGTGTTATTATTTCATGACGATCTTCTCTCTGTTTGCTTAAATACCTTCAGTCCTGTCAAACTTGACACGAAGAACACCCCTTGAGAATTTCTGTGAATGTAGAGGCATAAAATCTCTTGTTTATCTAACCATGCTAGGTTTGGATGGTGTGCATGGACATCTTTGTTCTAACGCTAATATAGCTGCAAGTAATAAAATGGCAAGTTACTGGTGATAATGAATTACTTGGGAGCAATAATTGATTGTGATAGCCCTACTGGATAATTGTAATTTCTATTGCAATCATCCACTGTAATTTCTGCTTTGTTTTAGTTTTCTTTCTAGTTATTTGTAGAACTTGATTAGAGTCTCATCACACTATAATTTCTATCTATCGTAGAGAATCATGTCAATGAAAATGTGCCTTTAAGTCCCTAATCTGTTAATTCTTGTGGTATCAAAGCCATCTTGCTCAAAGCAAGCTAGTTGACCTGTTTGCCTAGATTCCAACCACGGAACATTACTCTAGTTCTTAAGGTGCTTATTGGAAGAGACATTTTCTTTCTCGTCTCTGCCTCTAAAATTCCAGTAATACTGGAAACAATGACACTCCACAACCCACAGCATTTATCTCCATTGATGAAGCAACTCAGATTCTGATTAAGCTCTCAAAGAGTGGTAACTATGCATGTTGGAGAGATCAATTTTTGAACCTTCATTTTGGCTTATGATCTAGTAGGATATGCAGACGGGACTCTCAAAAGTTAACTTGAGATTATTCAGTTACCTGGAAAAACTATACTGACCTTGAATCCAGAACACAAGAAATGGATGCATCAAGATTGACTCATCTTGCTTAACATAAAGCACCAAGGACGAAATCGTGGTTGTGACTATTAGGTGCATCATAGAAGACCTGGCATTCGTCGGTTAATTGCTAAGCGATAAAGATAGGTTCATGCCTCAATGGATAAGGAGACGAGTTCAAAGAATTGGTTGCTAGAATCAAGACGAGATTTCCCTATGACATTTGAAGAACTGTGTGATAAACTCCAGGACCATGAAGCGTACTTGAAATCTCAAGGAATCTAGAAGGTCTATCTACCTGCGACAGCTCAATAATCAGAAAACTAACAATTAAAAGGGCATAAGGTGGGATGAAAGCCAATCTTTTAATTGAAGGTGGAACAACAATCCTGGCAACAAGATTACTCAGGTAGTTCACTTGACAAATGCTCTTCACAAGGCTATGGATTTCCTAATTAGGCAAACAAATTTTCGAATCCAATCACGGCATTGGTCAACCTCAGATGATTTGTCAACTGTGCCAAAGTAGGACATACCCCAAAGGCAAGCAAATCTCGGCCGAAGCCCAATTGGCCCCAAGCTAATATCATAACAAGCAACCCAACTGCAAACAATGGTACTTGGTTATTGACTCACTTTACATACGTTTATGCCGACTGGGAAAGTCAATCCTATGGTAAAAACTCGACCTCGAACATGTGGTCTTCTTATGAGATAAAATAAAGGTGAATCAAAATAGATAATCAAACCGAAGGCCCGTGTTTACACGGTTTCCTTAAATCGAATTCGCCGCCTCATCGGGGTGCACGAGGTTTTGATCGGTGTTCGATTCCCAGGATACAATCGGTTGTCGGTTCACGTTGCACTACGTTAACCGCCTA